TCTTCACATGCCCTTTCCTGGCATTTAGTACCTTGCATGAATTCTTCAAGATTAGACTGATCATGCAGTTGATATTGCTGGAAGCTGTGGTTTGAATGTGCAGTTTTGGATCAGTAATGAAGGTGCTTCTGTACCTCTTTGCAAGAGACTAGTGAAACTAAAATACTACTAACAACGTATCACAGAACCAGGAACCTGCTTGACTCTAAAAATCACTGAAAATGCCAAATATCCTTGTCAGTAGTAAACTGGCATTAAGGGAGCCACCGCCCTGTCTACCTCTGCAGTAAATACCTAGGAGGCTAGAAAGACATGTAAAGTTTGAAGTAAAGAGGCTTACTAGTCAGGTGAGTAAGACAAAAATTAAAACAGCCACAGAGGACTAGGGATTTAGCTCAGCAGCACAGCGCCTGCCTGGCAAGTGCAAAGTCATCAGTTCAATTCCCGGTACCAGAAAAAAACCCAAAAAACCAAACCAAACAAACAAAAAAAAAAACAGTCATAGAGCCAAGGATAACAGTGATGATTAATTGTTCAATTGTTTGCTATGATTTGGAAGTATACATATAATACTAGAGAAAATATGTGCACTCATACGAGATATTTCTACATATCATAAAATTTGAAAGGTAACATCATTTCTAAAGAGGTTGTTTATAACAGAATTTATTTATCTCCAAATGGATCACTTTCATTGTCATCTGAGGAACTGTTGGAAGCAAAGAGTCCCTAGAAGCGAGCCCAATATAGAGTGTGCACTGATAAGATTTTGTGGCCCTCTAGCACTGCCGTTCCAGCTGTATCATATGTGCTCAACAGGCTTTGAAGAACATTCTTGTGTTGGTTTGGGTTTTTTTTGCAAGGGGACACAATATAAAATGGGATACATATTTTATAAGATTATTTATAATAGTCACCCAAAGAATGATATTCAAAAGATTCAGGAAACCTGTCCACACACTAAAGACTAAAGAATCCAGCTGAAGGCCTGGATCTACAATAATGTCCTGCATGAGTCCAGCTGAAGACCTAGAGCCCATAACAATGCCTCCCACGAATCCAACTGGAGGCCTACAGCCCACAACAATGTCTCATGCAGGCCTGTATCACAGATATGCTCTGGGAAGGCCCAAAGGTCAGTGGTGGAATCTAGAAAGTCTGTGCCAGCCGGATAAAGGATCTGTGCTAGCAGGCTGAGGGATCTGCACTGGAGCCGGGAAGCAACACTCAAAGTAAGAACCAGAGCTCCCCCCAAAAGTACCACAGCCATCCTCAGCAACTGTGAGGGCTTCCGATGATCAGGGCAGCCAAGTTTCCGTCAGGAAAGCCAACACGACAAGCTTCTCCAGGAGACTGATAGTGCACCATCTTCCCCTCTGGAGCCAGGAAGCGATGCTCAAAGTGAGGACCAGAGCTCCCCCAAAGTAAACTGAAGCTGTTCTCAGTGCTAACAAGGTCCTAAGCTCCTCAGAGGATGAAAACAGCCAAGTTCATCAGGAAAGCCAGGATGGCAAGCTCCTCCAAGATAACCAACAGCTCCTTACAACTTCTATCAGCTCCCAACAGCCTTCCTTCTTCTCCAGTTCTGCCTCTTCTGCTGCTGGGAACAACCCTCAGGTGGGCCTCCCACTCCCAGCTCCACATTTATTAAGTTCATCTGGGTGTTACAAGTTGATCACTGGTTGTCAATCTACCACAATGCTCCAAATCATTCTCTTCTGCATCAAAACAGGCAAACCATGCATGTTTGGGATATTGAGACAAAACAAGTGATGTTTTGCCTCAATATCTAAACAAAGTCAGCTTATTTTTCCTCAGTCAACAATAGAAATAATATATATTTTGAAGACATTTGTCTTTTCATGGATGATGTATTTAGTTGCATGGTATACTTAGTGAATTGCCTAAAATACAATAGGCTACACGTACTTCTCGTTCCATGACTGACTTCTGTTCCTGTGATTAGGACAGTTAGTGAATTGGTTATTAAATGAGGTTGCATAAATCTTACATGCAGTGCTGTAATGTATAACAGAACATAAAATGGTAGTGCTGTACTACACAGTACGATCAGCAAAAATTACAGTAGTGTATAAACAAGACGTTCTGTACAAAAAAGACATTGAGGCTTTATAAACAAGATGTATAGGGCTGTAAAAAAATGAGTCATAAGTCCAAGCAGTCGTTAAACAAACAGATCATTAAATGAGGAATATTTGTAGTTCTCTTCTGATTTTCTGCTGCCTGAATGAGGAATAAAGCCCTCATGATTTATGGGACATCAGGTAGAGGACTCAGAAAGTTATTGGCTCAGGAGTGAGAATTAACCCTAAAGTAAAAGCTTCTTTGCTGGTACCTATCAAAGCTTAAAAGCAAGATTCAAATAGTTCACACTGGTTCCAAGAAATTTAATTGCATTCTGGAACAAAGCTTAAGAATATTTTTAGGAATGCAAAACTATACAGCACCTAATAAAATACAATATGCTAGTCTCTCATCTAACAGAAAATTATAAGGTGTGCAAAGAAGCAGGAACATATGACCCATAGAAAGTACACAAATAATAAGTAGAAGACCCAGTAATGACACAGATGATAGAATTAGTAGACAGAAACATTGAAACAGTGATTATAAGTGGGATATGTTGGTGCCTGCCTGTAGTCCCAGCTATCTGAGAGGCTGAGGCAGGGGATTGCTTGATATCACGGATTCAAGGACAATCTGGTAAAAATTATACCAAGAACCCATCTAAAAAAGTTGCTATAGCCACATTCCATTTGTACAAAAGGTAAAAGGAAAAATTAAATATACTGTAGAACCTGCTCATATCAATTTATAATAATAGTGAATTGTTAAATAATTAGGAATTTCGCAAACCAGTTGTGAAAAGATTGGTAGCTTAGCACTGGGCATGGCGGGAGCATTTGTACATGGATTGACAAACACCACAAATCAGGACTTTTTAAATTTTGGAGAGCTGGTTTATTAATGTGCTAGCAGACACTGTAGATGTAAAGTAGACTTGAATCAGACTTAGAAGTGGAAATCACAATATTGGAGATTTAAAAAGTCTAGGTGGAATTAGGAAAGGATTAGATACTGCAGAAGAGATGATTAATGAATTTGAGGATATAGTGATAGAAAGTATCCTAAGTGAAGCTCAGAGAGAAAAACACTGTGGAAAAACCCCCATGAGATTCAGTGAGCTGTGGGGCAAATTCAAGAGATCTAACAGAAGTGTCTCTTAAAGAGTGCAGAGAGAAGAGAACCAAAATATTTGAGTAAGTAATGGATAAAAAATTTCTAAATTTGATAAAAACTGAAGCCATAGATTCAAGAATCTCAATAAATTCCAAACCCAAAAAGCACAAACTACACCAAGGCACGTAAAAACCAAAGACCTTAAAAACAATGGAAAATAAAAATTTAAAAGCAACCAGAGAAAACTGCACATTATATCCAGAGGAGCAATCATAACAATGTTAACATCATGTACAGCAGACTTACAATAAAATAACAGAACTCTCTTTAAAAAAAAAAATACAAACCAAAAGAACAGGTAGTAACATTTGTACAGAACTAAGAGAAAATACTGCCAATGAAGAATTCTATACTCAATGAAAATATCCGAAAGGGAAGGTGAAATAAAGACTTTCTTTAACATAATAAAACTGAAGGAATTTTTTTGCGAGCAAACCAGTGTTACAAAAAATGTTACAGGAAGCTTTTTGAAGCAGAAAGAAAATGATATCAGATGGAAACTTAGATGTGGAAATTCTAATCTATTCCTGATAACCTGTAATCTATTTTTGGTTTCTGTGTATTTGTCTGTTCTGGCTACTTTGTGTCACTCAATCAAGCCATATGATACCATAGTCCTTCCTTCTTCATGAGGGATGTGTTTCCTGATCTCAGGTGGGTGCCTCAAACCCTGGACATTACTGAACCCTGTATAGTGTAAGTTTTGTCTATTACATGTACACCTATGATAAAGTTTAATTCATAAATTATGCAAGTAAGGGAATTAATAGCAATAACTAATACTGGTCTAAAAAATGACAACAATTTTTACAGCTTATTATGTTGTAATAAGTTACTTAAAACTTACGAATATTATTTCTTGGATTCTCTGTTTAATATTTTGGATCACAACTGACTTCTGGTAACTGAAACTATGGAAAGCAAAACCATGGATAAAGAAGGGTTACTATATGTGCCTTTTGTGTCTGGCTTCTTTCACTTAGTGTTTTCGAGGTTCAGGCATGTTATAGCATATGTTAGTAAGCACTTCTTTCCTTTCTGTGGGGGAATAATGTCCCACTGCAGGGATATGCCAAATCTGTTTATCTATTCATCAGCTGCTAGGCACTGAACTGTCTCCTCTTCTCTGGCTATTATTAATAATGCTGCTATGAACATTCATGTACAAATCTTTGTGTGGACACACATTTATCATTCTCTTGGATATATGCCTAGGGGTATGATTGCTGGATCATAGTTTGTTCTTATTTCTAAAATGAAGTTCTTTTGGAATCAAATTTATGTTTATTCAAGCGAAATGTGGTACCTAAGATTTGTCTCATCTTGAAGCTCAAGCATGGTAAAGGCCACGGCAGAAGAAAGAGTGCTATTGCCATGTTCCATCATCCCTGGAAATTCAGAAAGTGCAATGGAGAAATTTTTTTTAAAAAAATGGTGACTGTGATGGTCTTAAAGATCCATCCCAATCATGGTTGTTTTAAATGTTCTTCTTTTCCTCCATCCTATCCATCTGTTTTTTGTATTTCCTAGGCAAGAGCACACTTTTTATGTGCCACATTAAATTGTATTTTCATCCCCTTTTTGGAATATAGACATTTTTATTTATTTATTTATAAATTTTTAAAATTTTTATTTTAAAGAAAATAGTACAAAAAAGAACCATAGCAAAATACAAACAAAACAAAGCAAGGACATTAAAAATGATATGGGGCTAACTGTATTTTATATTTTCCTTCCAGGCATTTCTAAAATGTATACTGATTTCTTTAGAGGAGAATCATTGGTCCTTTGCAGCGTCATGCATATTTTTTTTGGAGTTTTTCGGGGTGCCTCCACTGAAATTAACATGTTTAGAGGTAAGAGCGTTTTTTGGGTCTATATATTTTCTAAAATCATTCTTGTTGAAATTAAAGTACATTCAAGATGTCTTTCTGGACATCTTGAAATTAAAATACATAAAAGATATTTGCCAACTTACTGAAATTAAAATATGTTTAAGATGTCTTCATTTTCCCTAAACTTTACTCTTGGACCAATTAAAATGATATATCAGGTAACAGGAAAACAATTGGCATCTATGCATTTCCTTGGACATCAAAAGGCAAAACATTAAAAATGATTTCATCTCTCTCAATATGCACCTGTATATGCGTATGCAAATACATGATTACGCCATGTCACATTTTAACCCCTTTCTGAATCAATCTTAATTTCAATGGCTGAGTGTTAAGAATTGTCATGATCCTATATTTGAACCTGTGGGTGAAAGCAGAACAGTTCATGCAGTATTGGGGAGAAGGTTCTAGAAGTGACAATAGCCAGATTTTTGTAACTATCACTGGGATATGTAATATGATGCCATGTTATTTTTCCAGATGTAGAACTAGTAGATAAGGAAGAAAGGGAAAAAGGAAGTCACAGCATAAAGGGGGAAAATATGCCCACTTGGTATATATTTGTGACAGTTGCAAAAAGAGGGATATTCAAAAGGAGAAATGAACATTGGTAGATAAGGGAGTGTTTACAGTGTTTCTCAAAGAAAGAGTGAGGCATCTGGGATAGAACAATTTTTGTACCTATCCACTTGCTGCCTATATTAGTCACTGCATCACTGGACAATATATCCATCACCCAGAATTTCAAGGAGGAGAGGTTTATTTTGGGTCAGGGTTTTTAATAGGGTCAGGTCATGGTTTGTTGGATCCAAGCCACAAACACATGGTAGAAGGCCATGATAGAAGAAAGCTCAACCGTTGGCAGCCAGGAAGCAGAGAGGGAAGGGAGGAACCAGAGACAGGAATACCCCTCTCCAGGTCACAGCCCCAGTGACCTGACCAGGTCCCACCTCCGAACACATGAGACTTTTGGGGGACATTTCAGTGCTTCTTGATGAAGGAACTCTAGGCATTTAAGATATAATAATTTTTTCCATTAGTTCTTTATTATTTAGGACTCTCCTGATATATCCACTTACTGGCATTAGTATTAAAAGTTATTATGACTAACAAAAAATTTGCTTCTCCATTTCTCAAAATCTTCCTGGACTAGGGTTAGGAGTTGCAAACCAGGGTGCACAGGAACCCTGGGTATGATTTGCTTAGCCCTGACAACAGTATGATGCTTAATCTTGAGTGTCAACTTGATTGATTTGAGAGTTGACTAAGGGATTAGAAAACCACATGTTTGGATGTGTCCTGGTGAGTCATGGAGGTGTGACTGTATCTAGTCCCTGGCGCCTTCTCTGGTGTCCTTCCCCTGAGCTTTGCTTCCAAGCAGCAGCGAAGTGAGCAGTTTTGCTCTACCATGACCTTCTACGATCACATTTCTGCCTTGGAGCCAGGCAACCATGGACTGAACCTCTGAAACTGTGAACCAAATAAACTTTTCCTCTTTTAAATTGCAGGTGTCAGGTATTTTGTCTCAGCAACAGGAAAGCTGACTAATATACCTAGTTCTAAAATTTTTGAATTTGGTAATCCTTTTTCTCTTCCTGTGCTGGAGATTGAACCCAGGGTCTCATGCATGCAAGGCATTACTCCTGAGTTACATCCCCAATCCTGGTTTTCTTTTGTTTGGGTATTACCTCTCCAATTTGTCACAGGTTTTTCACATTTATGCTCCTTGCCTGCATCCTGAGGATATTTGAATCCTCTGCCTCAGAATAAGTAAACCTCAGTTTATATAGAAAAGACATCCTGAGAGAACCTCTTTTGTTAAGCTTCTATGGGACACTCCTACTTGCTGGAGAATAAGGACCCCAATCAAAATCTCAAGAGCAAGCCAGAGTGCCATCAATGAATGAATCTGAACTCATTGCTCAACTCTTTGCTTCTTTTTTATAGAGCTGGATATAATTCTGGGAATCATCTTGGATATTTTTGGAAGCATCGTATTTGGATACTGGTGTGCAAGAGTCATTGAGTTTATATTGACTGACCCTTTTAACAATTCACTGACTAATATCATCCTCAGCTTTTCATTGGTGTATATGACTTTCTACGTTGGTAAGGCTGACACAAATACAAAAAATGCTGCCCTCAAAGGAAACTTTATAAATCTTGATTTTTGTCCTTATCTTGATTCCAATTATCTTGATTCCCTCAACAATATTCCGTCCACCTTTCTTATAGTATGTTACTGTCATCTGCAGCTCTTTCCTGTTATCTTTTACACCTTTATTGCGACTCCATGTCCTTCCCTCTTGCATTCATCTCTGTAATCACTCTCCTTCTCTTTGAGCTCTTTCCTTTGACCTCACAGGTAGTCACTGGTAGTCCTCTGGAAGAGGAATGAGCACTGAGATCATTCCTGCTCTGAGCCTGAGCAATTTATCTGTAAAAGGGAAAGTTCTGAGAGATGCTCCCAATGGCTTTTCAGCTCTGCAGCCTTTCATTCAATTGGTTATAACCTGAGGAGGCTGTTGAAGTGGTAGTCCTTTCCTGAATCTAGGAGCGGGAAAGGACAGGGAAAAATTGCACATATTTATGTCTGAAAGAGAGGCAGGAAAGTGAAATAATTAGAGGAGTAAGAGTGCCCAGAACTGGTAGACATTCAGCTAGTAAAATTTGGAATTAAAATGTTTACTGGTTAGACCAAGGTCCCCAAGAGCCATGGTAACTATGGCCCAACTTATCTATTTCTGATTTTGATCTCATCTCTCAGAGTGCAGCAACCTCCATGCCTTAAAGACCTTAGAGGTTAATTATTCCTCTTTTCATCACCAATTATCTAAAAGCACTGCTTCCCCTACAGAAAAATTGTCACAGCGGGCTGGGGTGGGTGTTGCTCATTGCCCCGAGTCAGTAAAATTATAGAAAACTTTCACTGGAGACTCACTTCCTTCTACTTCTTCATTTCTTTTTTGCTCCTGTGAAGGTTTTATGGATGCCTTTAAATCTCTAAAACATTTATTGAGTCTTTCTATTTCTCTACCAGACAGTGAGCTCATTGAGGCACAGTCTATCTCCTAGCCCCCCTTTTATTTGTTCTGTCTCATCTCAGCCAAGCTCAGAGCTTGCCATATGCCTGATAGCTTAATGCATGTTGGCTGAATAAGCTGATACTGGTCCTCAAAGAGCTTTGGAGTTAGGCGGACTTGTGCTCAAAACCCAGCTCCACAATGTATTAGCTTATTGGCATTGAATAATTAACCTCACTAAGCTTGAGTTTCTTCATCTGTGAAAGTGGCCAGTAACATTTAGTTTGTATGTATAATGAACTAAAAAATATCAGACCTCCCAAATTCAAAGACCCAGTCCAAAAATGGGCATTGGAGATGAATACACACTTTTCAGATGAAGAAATACAAGTAGCAAATAAATATATGAAAAAATGTTCAGCATTACTGGTCATTTGAGAGGTGCAAATTAAAACAACACTGAGATTCCAACTCACTCCGGGAAAGAATGGCCATCACCAAGAAATCAATCAATAACAAATGCTGGAGGGGCTGTGGGGAAAAAGGAACCCTTCTCCACTGCTGGTGGGAGTGTAGACTGGTGCAACCACTGTGGGAATCAGTCTGGAGATGCCTCAAAAAACTAGGGTTGGAGGCCCCATTAGACCCAGCTAGTCCCCTTCTGAGTATCTCCCCAGAAGAATTAAGAACATCTTACCACAGACATATATGTGTACCCGTGTCTATAGCAGCATAATATGTAATAGCCAGATCTTGGAAACAACCTAAATGCCCATCGACTGAGAAATGGACAAAAAAGATGTGGTCTTTTTCTATAATGGAGTATTACTCAGTCATAAAGAAGGATAAACTGGAGAATTTTATAGGTAAATGGATGCAACTTGAGACCATACTCATAAGTAAAATAAGTCAGACACAAATGTGCAAACATTGTATTGTCTCCCTAGTGTGAGAAGCTGAAAGAGTAAATGTGATTCAAAATGTACAATAGATTCTGTAAAATGGTAAGAAACTACAAAAGGAAAGAGAAACTGGTTTAGGGGAGTAGAAAAAAAAGAAGGAAGGGAAAAGCAAAAGGAAAAAAATATACAAAAGATAGTTAAAATAGTTATATTACTAATTTCTCTTAGTTCATTGAAAAGATGTTTGTGCTAATATTATTTGGATAATTAAATGCTGCTATCTCATACTCTGAGTTACTAGTTTAAAGATAACAATATACAATGTATTAACCATTGTTACCCTTCTATTATATTGTTTTGGAAGGTTTTTTTGTTTCTTTCTCTTTAAAATAAAAACTAAAAAAATCTAGTTTATAGAGGTATTAGTGTAGGGTCAGGCATTAATCACTGAGCTAATGTGCATTATGTGACCTGCTTATGCTGCTGAGCTACAGAGAGTTCCTACAGGCTCTTAAAAGCTGATTTTGCACATTTCTTCCCAACTCCATACTCAGGCCATAAAATTGGCCATGGTGGGAGTCTTTATGCCATGGATACTGGAAGACTGTGTAAGTCAGGGACCCCCTCCCCCACCATACAGAGAGAGAGAGAGAGAGAGAGAGAGAGAGAGAGAGAGAGAGAGAGAGAGGAGGAGAGAGAGAGAGAGAGAGAGAGCTTGTTTAAAACATTTCCCAGAGCAGTACTGGCTTCAAAGTACGGCAGTTAAAAAAAAGGTTGATTTCTTTCCCTTTTCCTTTTAAAAAAATGGAGTTGGAGCTAGGCGTGGTGGCGCATGCCTGTAATCCCAGCACTCAGGAGGCAGAGGCAGGAAGCTCACTGTGAGTTTGAGGCCAACCTGGGCTAGATAGTGCGTTCAAAGCCAGTTTAAACTACATCACGAGACTCTGTCTCAAAAAACAACAAACAAAACAGAACAAAACAAATCAAAATGAATGGCATTGTTTCCAGTCAGTGCTTGGCATCCTCCAAGACAGATACTTCCTGGTGTGAATTAAGAGCAGGATGGGAGCATGGGGCTTCTTAGAGTATGTTAGTATCATTTGCACATTAGAAGGCTCCAGTCCTGACATACAGCTTCCAAGTTGGTATGAATTTGTCATCTAATTAAACAATAAGGATTCCTTATGCTCATTTTGGCATGCAGCCAAAAAGCTTAGTCAGTTCAATTCATATCAAATGTGTGCCAAAAGCTATTTAAAATCCAGACATACAAATTATATAGAATTCAAAGTAAGATCTGAAGAGTTTCACTGTATCACAGTTTGCAGCATGGTGGTTTTGCTATTATTGGTTATTTAAATTAAACTCAGTTAAGTAAGCAAGTAAAAATTCTAAAGGAAATTTAAGTGATTAGATTAGTGAAAGGAACAATGAAATACTCTCAAAAGTAATAAACAGTATTAATTTACTAAGCAGTAAGTAGATAAATTAATAACACAGTAATAATGATTATAATTTATGCATTGCTACAAAATGTGCCAGGCATTTTTTATGGAATCTGATTTAACTTTCACAACAATTATACAATTACACCTGCTTTACGAATGAAAGAACTCAAAGGAGAAAAGGAAAGGTCACATTCCAAGAGCAGCCAACTTTGTCCTGTTCCAAAAATTCTTCCACTTCTATTTTTCATGTTCTTTCTTTAGCTTTTTGTCTGTTGTTTATAATGTGCTATTTTTGGGCTCTGGAGCCTAGGACTGTTGGCATTTATGGTATCCAAACATTCTTCCTGGTTATTTTCTTGCCCCAGACTACACTTGCAAATCTGTTTAGATTGGAAGGAATTACCACCTGAGGTAGGGAGGCAAAAGGAAAACAGACTTCAATAACTTCACAACGCCCCTGAGCAGAGACTGTTAAACTCCTTTTCCATTATCTTCATCCTCAGTGACAGTCTGGGGTTGGCCCCCAGGGTCAGATAGGCCTGGTTTGGGCAGTCTATTAGCAAAGAATGGCTTTTGCATTTTAAAGTGGTTTACAAAAGAAAGATATTTTGTGGTACGTGACGATTATTTGAAATTCAACTTTTAGTCTCTATAAATGAAGGGTTATCATATACTCATTTGCTTGTATATTGTCTGTGGCCACTTATGCACTACGGCAGCCGAGTGAGTAGTTGTGACAGGTGCTCATAAATGTTAGATATTTACTGTCTGGCCCTTTGCAAAAAAAAAAGCTCACTCTTCCTGATTCGCAAGATTTGGGCAATCCCTTGAAATAGCTATCTAAGTAAGAAATATTACTCTCAAATTTCCCACCACTTCTTCACTCAAGACAAAGTAGCTTAGTGTGCAGATTTAAATGTATTTATTTTATTCTTTTTTTCTCTCCCCAGTGGAATATTTTGGAATGTCAGGCATTGTTGCTTTGATCACTGTGGGCCTGAATTTAGATTCCTTAAGCTTTAAAGCAAATATGGAGCATGTAATTACTAAGTAAGTTTCCTATTCTGTATTTAATATAGATCTCATAGAAGTTAGCGTCTTAAGATGCCATGCCTTTGTGGATGCTATTAAAATTCCCTTTATATAACTTTTGTTAAACCTTTGAAGTTTAAATTTGAGTTACATTTGCAAAGAACTTAAAGTATCAATACTTACTGACAATATTTTTATTATGCATTAAGTATCAGTAGTTCGGAGATCATAGTGTTTTTCTATATAACTCTGATAGAATTTTACTTTAAATTGTGGATTTAAAGACATAATGATTTCCTCCCTTTGTTTAAAGGCATTGCTTTAACTGTCACTTCCTTTCTATTCATCCTAGGTTCCTACTGATGTTTTCGTCTGTATACGAACATTTGATATATACTTTCTTTGGCATTGTGATTGGATGTGGAGAAATCGAGTATTTCACATTTCACTCTATAGTTTTCACTCTCTTGTTATTTTTGACAGTGAATTTTGTGAGGTAATCATTATATTTTAAAGTTTGTTTTTTCCAAGCTTAGTTATGAAGCCCAGAGTTAGAACTGGGAAACAGTGGTGTGCAGCAAAAAAAGTAGATGTTCTTGAGATATGGAAGAGGCCAGGGAGTGAGGGAGGCCTCAGGAACGCGTTTTAGGCAGACAGTCCTTGGGGGGTAAGCCCTGAGGGAGGCAGCCTGGCAGGTCAGGAAGCAGCAAGGAAGCCTTGGTCACGGAAGCAGAGAGGAGGGGAGAGCAGGAGGAGATAAAGTGACCGGGTAGTTATGAAAAAACAAGAGAAGACCCGGGCATCATTGCTCTTCTGGGCTAATAAAACTCCCTCAGGAGTGGTGACTTTGCTCTGGGGAATGCCGTTTGTGGAGGGAAAAATAAAGAGCATTTGGTTTTTAAAAATTGTATATACTTTCTTTACTATTTGAATTTTTGCACTATTCATGCATTACTTTATAATTTAAAACAAAGGTAAAATAATCAAAACCCAATCCATTTCTTAAATCTTTAAGAAGAGTAACTAGATCTTCCATTGGATTCTTTATAAATAGCATGAGAAGTCCATACCAGGTAAAAACAAATTGCTAAAACATTTAAAAATCTCTAACTCAATAGAAATTAAAAAAATAAAATGATAAGTGGCTTTATTCTTCAGCCATAAAATTCGTGGTTCTAAAAGTCGTAAGTATGGCCCTTTGAGGACATGATAAGAAGGGCGCTCCTGGCCTGTCCGCTCACCGCCCCTTGAATGTCTCCCTATTCCTTGTTCCCTTCACTCCAGATAAGTAGCACATCTGTCCGACACTTGTCCTTTTAGGCACCTTCCAAAGTCTCTGCTTTTCTGTCTTACATCCTTACCCCTAGTGCCTATTCATGTTTTAAATGTCAGAATAAACAGCGCTGTACCAGGGAAGGCTTCCCTGCTTCCTACCCTCCTCCTCTCCCAGCTTCAAGGAAGATAGGTAGCACCAGTCTGCGTTCTTTAGCACTATTTAGTTCTCCTTTGTGGCACTCCGGGCAGGTATTAGGGAATCCTTGGTTTTACAGTTAATGATTTAGTGTTTGTCTCCCCAGTGTAGCATAACCCTTGAGGGAAAGCATCATCTGTCTTGGTTTTGACAATATCTTAAGATTCTTGAACAGATTTTTATATTTTTTGCTGAATGATGAAACAAATATATATATATGTGTGTGTATATATATATATGTACATATAATATCAAAAATCTCATGAATGTTCACATTCCATTTGTGTTAGTCTGGGATCTCCAGGGTGACAGAACCAATAAGAGACACAGATATAGATACAGATGGTAGAGACACAGATACACAAAATGGGACGAGTAGGGGATCTGGCTGATGTGCCTTTGGAGGCCAAGTCCCACGGGCAGCCATCTATAATTTGATGACCTTGGGAGTCAGCAGCAGGGCTCAGCTCAGAACCGACAGCTCAGAACCCGGGAAACTGATAGTGTAATTCTCAGTCCAGGATCAAAGGCCCGAGATCCCATCAGATCTTCTGGTTTGAGTCCTGAAGTTCAAAGGCCAGAGAGCCTGGAACTCTTGATGTTTAAGGGTCAGAGAAGAGTGTCCTCGCTGCAGGAGAGAGGGGAAATCACTTTTCCTTTCTTTTTTGTTCTATCTGGGTCCCAGACTAAGCTTGAATCTTCCCCACCCAGTTCGCTGATCCACCTGTCTCTCTCCACTGGAAACACGCTCACAGACACATCCAGCAGCAATGCTTTATCAGTTCTCCAGGTACTCTTTAATCTAGCCAGTGGACACCTAAAACCAACCATCACACCGCTTCTGAGAATGTGATTCAAATTGGGGGGAAAGTGCTTATCAAATTGTACACATGAAGTGTGTGCAGATGTTTGCATACCGACTGTACTTCATGAAACTATTGTAAAATTTAAAATGTGGGGAAGACTCTATTCAAAAAGTCTTCAGTGGAGTGGTATTCATGGTAATGAAAAATTAGAAACAACCGAAAATGCCCAACTACTGACAAGTATGAATTGGGGACAAGAGACTCTTGCATTTCCCTTTTATCAAGTTACTCACCTTAGATTTGTTCAATTTTAAGACTAATAGAAAATTGTTATGAATCTGTTAATAGACTCTACTATGTGGAAGAGCTTCAAAGGATATTTTATATCAGTAACACTGGAAGGCATACTGAGAACTACACATTTGTAAGATTATTTGCTTTTTTTATAATCAGAAAAATACAAATTATGAAACTCAAAATAGTAAAAACATTCAGACCTCAGGAGTTGGTTTTGATGAGCTACAAAATAAAAATAATAGTACAATGGATTTAACCATTTGACAAAGATTAATTTGGCCTCTTTGATGTTAAAATTAATCTGTCTAGATATCTAGGGAGCTCTGAATTTTCTACAATAGCCATTGGGCATGTGGGCCAGTTTCTGATTGGATAGTGACGTATATAATATGGATCAGTTTTTGCCTCTACAGAGTTGTGGTGATATATAACTTAACTATTATAACAGTACCCGGATATCTATACTCAAAAATAAAATTTTATAATTAGAATATAAAATAGTACTAATATATATATATATACAGTCATATGTATCATAATATATAACTGTATTTATCAAATGTATAGTGTAATGTATACATATAGCCACCTCTGATATTGCTTATCAGAGCACACATCCCAACACACACACACACACACACACACACACACACACTAGGCGGTACCTAATAATTCTCAACTGGCCTGAGAGGTCACTGGGTTGGCATGAATTCACCTGACTGTATAGAGAGTAAACCCACAAGGGTCAATGATATTTTATGGAAGAAGTCTTTGGTAAGACTGAAAGGGCTGGTCAGAGTCACTTTGCAAAAAATTTGAATGCAAAGCAGAAGAGTGTGCCCAAATAAACCATGCAGAGGATAGATGGTGAGTATAGACTCTTTGTTTCTTAAAAACAGGAATTCTCTAAGTTGACTTGTGTGATTCCTAGCTGAGCAACTGATACACAGTATGGTTTTTGAGGTTGACATATGTCAGATTTTACTTTTGCTGAAATTTCATCTATTCTAAATCATTTGAAGTACAATACTGATATTTTCTCAGTGCAGATCCCCTAAAGACAGATTCTACAGGATCTTGGAGAAAAATGACTTACTAGGAAGGCACACATCGACATTAATTAGTATAAGATTTTATGGGATCTCAAGAAAATCTTGGTTGGATTAAGTTTATTAATTTGCCTATAATAATTTTAGCTTTTGGCCATCATCTGTACATCCTTCAATTCCAACTTCTGAATCTGATCATTTTATGGCCTTTCAGGGAATAGAGTATCTTGTCAATATTCTTTGATGGAGTTTCCATGAAGGAATTTACTATCTAAATGTAAGGGCACAATACAGTAGTGTTAGTGGCAAATCTTATTATTTGTATAGAACTTCCAGCAGTATTTTTTTCTTTTTAAAGAAATATTTATACTTACTTAAAAGAAGTAAGTTTAAATAGTTCAGAAATGGAACAAAGTAGAGATCTATGTACCATAAAAAGTGAATTATCAGACTCCATGGACATTTCCAGGTAAACATTAATACAAGCTCAGGTTCACATTTTTCTTTATACAGGGATAATGCATACATACATCATGTGAAGATTCAGGCAGAAAAGAAAATCAGAGACACTAACAATATCCTCAAGCTTTAAAAGTAATGTGGAATATGTTTTAGAAACATTTTACATTAATATAAACCCTTGATTTAATTTTATGATTTTATGCCAGAAGCATGGTTGGTATTAATTAAAGAAACACATATTGGTATTATAGCACATTGGCTTATTAATAATGAAGGCATTTTGTATCTCAGTGTGTAACAAAAATTTTAAAGTTGATTATTTGCTGTGATGTTTTAAACTTTCCAAGTCTTTTGGACGCACAAAAAAAATAGCTGCATGCATTTAAGTGTTTTTTTTTTAATAAAATATACAAAATAATTGATCTCTGCAGTTCCTAGTTATGTTTTGTCTTTTTCTCCACATGCAGGTTATATTCATATTTAAGACTGGGTTAATGCCCCATAGGGTTTTTGTGTGTGTGTGGTACTGGGAATCAAACTCACAATCTTGTGTTTGCCAGGCAGGCGCTGTGCCACTGAGCTATATCTCTGGCCCCAAGCTCAGTAGTTTTTAAACAATGCTACTAAATAACCACAAGTCCCCAGTGCAGTACGGGAGAACAGTCTTCATCACTGAAGTTGAAATTGCTCCTTTTGGATATTTTTCCACTTCAGTGTTAGGTTGTTAGGGTTTCATTATATGGATTAAAAAATGGTTTTGATTTCTTCCACAGTTCAGAGTTGGAAATCATATCGTACAGGGATGTTTCAAATAACCAAATGCTCTTTAGTAGATGAAAATGCAGCCCTAACATACATAGCATCTGCATCCTTAGCTATATTATCAGTAGATCTTAAAACCAAAGTAAGATGGTTTTCCTGATTCCACAATCCACCTAACTGTTGTTTTTGAAATCTGAATATTTCTATCATTTATAGTTTCTGTTTTGGATAGTTCTGACTAAGACCATTTTATTACAGCATGAAGCCAGTTGAAACCAAATTTTTCAAATTTGCTTTAAAGTAGTAGCTACTCGAGGCAACAAGCCTACACAGCAGCTAAGTGAGATATATTGTTTTTCTTTGTGTAAACTATTGGTTAGCACACAAAGTGTGCAGTGTACAACTCCAAGATCTTCTATTCTCACCAAATAAGCTACAAATTCACTTATGCTTTTCTTTCTCTAGAAAATCAAAGCTACATTTAATCTCAAGTTCCTACTGAACACAACCTGGGCCACTGTTCCGTGGCTCTCAGAGAAATTTCACAGAAAAAACCCACTGTATTTGGATGATGAGCTTTTTGACTGTGAAGAACCAGAATCACTGCAGTCAACCAAACATGTTTGACTATCATGGCATAATTTTTCAGGCGGGTGACCTGCACGAGACATGTATTCTTTATTTGCCTGCCGAGCTCTAGTATTTTTCAAACTCACACATTATATAGAAAACAGATTTAGTTTCAGAAAGCTGGCATGACACCAATAAACTTCATTGTTTTCTCTTTCCTGAAAAATTTTATATGGAATTTAGTATTGAGTACATAGTTTCAACATAAGTAATATAAAGTATGATTTATTTACTTTTACTGTTTTTCCTGTCCGCAGGATCTTTACTACTATCGCATTGACGCCTATCTTGATGCATTTGAGTCATGAATACAATTGGCAATTAGGAATTGTTATCTCCTGGACTGGAATTAGAGGAGTTTATAGCTTACTCTTATCTCCCGATATTTATAATCTGGCTGAACAAAAAGTAAAGGCTCCACATATGGTAGGAAAAATCATGTCTCATGATTCTTTATTCACCTTTATTTATGGCACTTGTCATTGTACCCAATAATAAAATGAGCTGGTTTCAAATTATACTTTAAAAATGCATTCTTTTTCAGCAGAAAGGAACTCAGAGAAAAGTTTATCTATGTTGACAGTGTGAAAGGGACCAATACATTGTATTGGTTAAGGACAGGGGTTTTGGATAGACTGGGCCTCCAATCATGACTCCATCATTTACAAACTTGATGACCGTGGGAGAAGTTATAGAGTCTTGCCTAGCCTCAATTTCCAGTTGAGGTTGAGACGGTGCTTAATAAAAGCTTAATCAATGCTATTGAGCACACAAATGATGTCTTTCAGTATCTGTCAGAAAGGGTGGAAAAAATACCGTTATGGAGAGAATACCAACCTCCACAGATATTAGAGCAGAAACTTAAATGCTAGTTAAGTACACTAATGAAGAAAGATTTTATAAATAAGATAAAGATTTTATAATAAATAATTACATTAATGATCTTGTGTTTGTATCATCAGTACTAATTTAAAAAAATTCAAGCCAAAGAATCCATTATCTGAGTGGAAAAGAAAACTTGATATCCTTTCCACTCTTTCTCAATGTTGTTCTCCTCTGGGCGGGCTGGTGGTGCAGTATCTGTCAGTGATACTTCAGGCAAGATCCAAGGAGCCCAGTGCACCTGCTGGCAGGGTATAGGCTCCTTCTCACGTGTGACAGACTGTGAGTGAGCTAGGGAAGGTAATAGACATCTCCTGGACCAGCGCCCTCTAGCTCCCAGTCACATAAACCTCAAATCTGCTCTAGGGAAGGAGGAAACCACTTGGAGGCTATTACCTCAAGATCACCTTCCTGTTTGCCAAAGAATGTGGAGGTAGAGGTACAGTGTTTCCTGATATTGTCTGATTCCCAGGTCGAGATTTTCTTGCCTTTGCTATTTGACTATACCAGAAGGTTTATGGAAAAACTGTCAAGCAGTTCATCTTGCATGTGGAAAAGTCAAAATAGGCAATAGCCTACTGTGCATAGCGTGATAGGGAAAGAATTCAGGGGCCCTAACTCTCAAAGGAAGTGCTTTTCTTGATAGGGTATTATATTCCTCACCACATCTTTCCTGAGCATTTATATCCATGGGCCTGGTCTGAAAATGAATTTGGTCAGGTGAACTGGTGGCTTTGCAAAGATTTGGGTCCTTCCTTGTTCCAAGCGAAAATTATTAATAACTAACATTTAAGAGCTTTTAATTCTTTTTTATGCAATGAATTATCCTCAAACCAAATTAATAGTGTAGGGAGCCACTGAAGCTGGGAATGGATCATATGTGTGAGGTGTGGCAAGGCCGGTCCAACAACACAAGGTGCTCAGGAACACCAGGTGCTCAGGTGAGTCAGGCAAAGTTGCTAGGCAGTGGGGCTGAAATTGACATCAACCTGAGAGTATAAATAAACCCACGGCGGTAGCTGAGCTGTTCCTTTCCTCCCATCTGGAGACAGGGCTCAATCTGACCTCAGCTTTCTGTCTCTTATCTTTATTTCTCCATCCTCTTGCCGTCCTCCCCTGCCTCATGAACTTTGAGAGCTGTGTTGGATGTGACATAATAGCATGTTAACTAACACTTGGGTATCATTTTGCAGTGTTTCCTAATTCTGTCTAATGTTATGCATGCCCTTTGCTCCATCCTAGACCTAAAGAATCACAATCTTTATAGAAGGGCCTGGGAGTCAGTGTGTTTTAAAAGCGCTCTGGGACAGGTGGCTGTTCTCAGCCAAGTCTGGAAAGCACACTGGAGGTGAAATTGCTATGAACTGCATTTTTCAATGAAGGACACCGAGACTCAGAGGCTCCAGGCCTAAAGGTTAATAAATGGCAAAGCCGAGGCTTACAAATGTAGTGTCTTTTTGTTTGTGCATAGCACTTTCTCTGACCCCACAGCTCCTGCCTGCTCCTCCATGCCCAGTACAGCTGTAGTCATGCTGGTGGTCAGAACACATCCTCGTCAATCACCACTGCCTGGTGTGCCTGGGCTTCCCCCACCTCTCAGGCTCTATAGCCACGTCTGTGACGGCTCCCAACTTGCTGGCCTTGTGTAGCTACTGCTGGAATGGGCAGTGTGGAAAGCTTTTCTCAGTGTCCTTATCTCAGAATCTACAATCGATCTTTATGTCCTCATTTTGACTGAAAATTAATTTTTGCATCAGTATGTTATGTTCAGGCAAGATCCACAAAACACCCTTTTTACTTTAATTTACTTATCATAAACAGAATTAAAAATATGGATTAAAGCAGAATTTTGATGGTGGTTAAATGGATGATTGTCTTTGAAAAACTTATTTAATTTTTGGTTCTAACCATTTGTATGTTTTATTTTAGTTTATATTCCATATACAAACAGTATCATTGTTGACTATGGGAATAAACTCACACATGATGACTTGGTCAGCTAAGACATTAGGTAAGGCATATGTATCATTCTAAGGACCTCATATTAGGGCAATACATGCATACCTGTGTTTATAGCAGCACAACTCAGAATCACTAAATCCTGGAGACAGCCTTCATGTCTATCAACAGATGAACAGATAAAGCAATTATGGTACTATACATAATGGAATATTACTCAGCTATAAAGAAGGATAAATTTTAGATGTTTGTAGGAAAATGTATACACCTGGAAATATAATACTAAGCAAAATAAACTGGACACATATTGGTATGGTACCTCTCATTAGGCAAAGTGTAAATAAAGAGCAAAATAAAGGATTGATAGAAACAGAGAGAGATCTTTTGCAAATGAGAATTGGTACAAGAAACTGAGAGTGAGGGGAGGAGGGGAAGGAGTGGGGAAGTAAAAGGATTTAAGATGTGTCAGTTATGTGTAACGAATACCCACAGTGAATGTAAACATTATACATCATTAGCATGAACTAGAAATAATAACAAAGATAATGAAAGTGGGAAAGAGGATTCAGAGATAGAGGAAAGAAGGTGGGTGGGGAGGGGGATGGGGATAAAAAATAATCAAAAAGTAATATGCTCATGATCTTCCCTAAGATGAGTGGAAATGTCAAGTATTGCAAACACGTAATTTTATTTTTAACTTAAAATAAAATTTAGAAAGGGTACCACTTTAACTCTTTATGAGACATTTCACATGTGTTAACAAAGAAAGAACAACTTTATTGAGGTGGAATTGAGCAAATAGGCAAAGGTCATTCACCAAATTCTTCTGTTTGTTAAGAAACCTCAGAACTCTAACTTCAAATTCACACCTCAATAAATACACAGTGCTGCAAGTTTTGCGTATTTAGGTTTGTGTGCCGGGAAACAGAGGTGTTAGATCTGAGGGGTGTTTATGGCAGTGACCTTTGCACTTCACTACGTATAAGAAACAGGTGGAAAACTCGTTAAAGTCAAATTCTCAGGCCAATCGGCTTTTGGGGCTGCGGCATGGAGCCCGGTGGTTTGCATGGTGTCATAAGCAGCCCTTCTACTTGTAGGAGACACAGGTGGTTCTCTACCTTTTGAGAAATACTGGTGGGTACCTTGAAGTGGAAAGTCTTTAGCAGTTGAGCCAGATAAAGCTGAGTCATATAGCCAAGAGGAAACAGATGGATAATATTTCGGGAAAATTTTCGATAGAATTGTCATTGCTCCAGTCACTCTGTTCTGGCTGTGCAGGTGAGTTCACAGTTTCACCAATGCGTCATGACTGTCCTTGTCCTTCCCTTTCCGTCTCCATTGTAGTGCGTTCACACCTTTGCTTTTCTTTCTCACAGGTCTGTGTGCTATTTCCCTCCCAAGACAAAGGGTTATACAAAATGTCACTCATCACATACAGCAGATTCTACAGAACACAATAACTTTATTTAAAACAGAGAAACTTTTGACGAATGTTAATTGGACTTTAGTAGAAGAAAAAACGAAGATTGAATACGTTATTCCTGTGAGTTAATATCCGGCAAAAAATATTTTTCCTTTACTTCCCTTGATCTACTTTTCTCATCTTAGTCTATAATAAAAAAACAAAACAAAACAAAACAAAAACACCTGATTCTGTTAACTAAATGTCAGAAAACTGAGGGGAGATATTTACTAGCTTTGCTGTCTTGATGAAATGACTTCTTTGAATTCTGTCTCTAAAGAGAAGATCTTGGTGATCATCCTTATTTATGCAATACCAGGAGAACGGATACTTTCGCAAACTGGTTAGCTGAATATCAAGCACGGCCCCTGCTAAGATGATGTTTCCAAAGGTTTGAGAGACTGAGAAATCTGTAATTATTATAAAAAGCAGAAATTACAGGCTGATTCAGAGAGTAGTGAAACATGGACAGGTTTGGAGAAGAATTTGACATTTACATCTTTCTAAAAGAGCAGCACTCCTGAGGCAGGAGGATCACTGAGTTTGAGGCCAGCCTGGGCTATGTAGTGAGTTCGAGGCCAGCCTGAACTACACTGCGAGACCCTGTCTCAAAAAACAAAACCAAAAACACAGAACCCAAAAAGCAAAACATAAAACAAACCCTAAAACTTTTCAAAAGAATATATTGCCACAATTGAAACAATACTTCTTTTTTTTTTTTGGTTTTTCTCCGGTACCGGGAACCAAACTCACGACCTTGTGCTTGCCAGGCAGGCGCTTTTGCCGCTGAGCTAAATCCCCAGCCCCCTGAAACAATACTTCTTATATGGAAAAAAAAAGTTACTCAAGTTATGCTTAACCAATAATTTTAGCAATTCTGATTCGAATTATTGAAATTTTTGCTGAGTCTAATACTTGTTATCTTCTTACAGTTTTTATTTACTTTATCTTTTTGTGTTTTAAAACTTAGCCCGATAACCTTCAGTCTTCCCATCTTTCAAGTAATGATGATGAGTGCCCGACAGATGAAGTTTTAATAGAAGAAGCCAAATTGCACGTAGCTATAATACAAATGGTTGGTACTGTTCACATACTCTGTTTAGAAATTTTCAATTCCTTTAACCCTTATGGTTTTTCTGGTGCTGTAGAACAAATATTTCTTCTTTCATATAGTCTTTTGCTTATTAAAATTAATGTTTGATTTATTAAAGTTTAGACAAAACTAAAAAAACAAACACTTTCTTAGGCTTTAGATTTAAGACACAAACCTCATTATTTTAAGATCAGCATGTGTTAGCAGTCTCTTTTGGGGATTCTTAGAACAAGAATTGGTGCCGTTTACATGGTTAGACAATTAAACATCTTTAAATATTTGAGACTGCTTCTAGAAATGTAACATATTTCAGTTCTTTTATGCAAAATTCTCTCAAGTGCTTATTTATTTACTTATTTACTTCTTTTTGAGACAGGCTCACTGTGTAATTCAATCCAGGCTGACCTTGAACTTATTATGTAGCCCAGATTGGCCTTGAACTCACAGTGATCCTCCTGCCTCAGCCTCTCTAGTGCTATGATTGCAGGTGTGTGCCACCATGCCTGGCTAACGTGCTTATTTAACTCTTAGTAATGTAATGCATTACAATGAATTTGGTGAGCCAAAAATGCTCTTAAAATGTTGTCATTCTAATATAAACATAAAAAGATTACTAGGTAAAATCAAGTTTAAGTAAACTTATCAAATGACAAGTCTTAAATTAGGGTTATATTCTGATGAATCAGGTTTTATCTAGTATAGTGGTATATAATATACTTGTTATGCCCAGAGGATTTTTTTTTCACTTTCTTTTAAAAACCCATTGTCGTGAAAAATTTCTAAAACACCTTAAAATACATGGAATAGTGTAATAAAGCTCCAAATGTCACCCAGCCCTAAAAACCATCCTCACACGGCCAGTCCCACCTGTGCCCTCCGTCACCCCACTTTCCACACTATTTTGATATCAAATCTTAAATGTCATATCATTCGATCAGTAAATACTTCAGAATGTATCTGTAACTTTTAAAGTCTTAAAAAGTAGTAAAATACTAATACTGCACTCAAAATTAATACAAATATCAAGACTAATCAAACACCAATTTGATGAAACTTTCAATTGTCTTGTATGTGTGATAAATGCTTATTTCTACAGTTTATATTTTCAAGTTGGATTCCAATTAGGTCCATACACTGCAATTCACTGATATCTCCTTTAATTCTCTTTTAATCTATAAATTCTGTCATCTTTTCTTTCACTTTTTTTCTGTTGAAGAACAATTCCTTCTTGAAAAATTTATTTTCATTCTTTTTATTTTTTAATTTTTTAGTTTTTTTATTTTTATTTTTGGAGACAGGGTCTCACTCTGCAGCCCAGGCTGGCCCTGAACTCACATATAGGTGTGCGCCAATACGCCTCGTTTTATTTTCATTCTTTAAGACATTCCTGCACTTAATTTAAAGTGTTGGCTGTGGGGAGGGGCAGATAACATGCTTAAAGAACTCATTAATTTGAAATGTTCTCAGAGTCCATGTGGTAAGAGGAAGCTGGTCTCACCCGCAGAATGTGGGGGTCATGCAGAGGAAACCAAACACACAGGCAGGAACCGGTATCTCACTGCCAGGTTCAGGAATGAGGCTGTGTCAATCCAAAAAGTGGGATAGTAACTCAGCCTGTTGATAAGAGAAGCAAAATGTCTGTGACTGTATGAATGTGACACGATTTACCCACTGGCTACAATGCTTTCTATTCTTCCTGCATTCAACACATAATTAGCTTTTCTCAAGACCCCTCAAGGCTTCATCCTATTATGGTGTTGGGCTCAGAGTCCAGTATCTCCTAATCTGCATTTGGCCCAGGTGAGAGACATCTTGTTGCCTCTCCTTTAGTGTGACTTCTCTTGATCTAGAGACCTGGGAACTGAAATCCCAGCATATCCACCCCCTATATACTGAACTCTCAGTGATAATAACAGATACTTCTGTACAAGAAGTACTTATGTACTTAGAAATCATGAGGAGGGATAGTGGTGCATGTCTGTAATCGCAGCCCTTGGCAGGGTGAGGCAGGAAGATTGCTGCAGGTTCAAGGCCATCTTGGGCTATATAATGAGTTCAAAGCCATCATGAACTACATATTGAGACCCTTTCTCAACAAAACAAAACAAAACAAAACGAAACAAAACAAAACAAAACAAACAAAACAAAACAAAACAAAACAAAAAAACCAACAGGTAAAAGAGAAATCACTGATCCATGACAACTATGAAATCCAGGGGGCAAATGCACCAACTCTCTCCATTCTTTCCACTTCTGTAAGAAATAAATCCATGCATGTAGCTGAGTGACTTCCTCAGTCTTATTTCTTCCAGTAAAGAACTGGAAGGCTAATATTCACGTAGAATGGTCTCTGTCCCTTTTATTCTAACTTGGAGTTATTTTCTCAAAAACTTTGTGCATTTTCAATAAATCTGATTACAGTCTACCTCATCCCCCAATTTCTTTTCAGACAAACTATGTGTCCAACACATAGTTGTCCAACAAGAGTCTTGTCCAACAAGAGTCTGAGAAGGCCTTTACTCTTGTTGAAAGGGAAGACTACCACTTTGAATTGTTCAGTACTATTAAAAAGCATCTGCAGACAACACCCTTAAATTGATCTTGACACAGAGGCTATATTTCATTGGCAGCACTCTGGATTTGGTTTTTACTCCTGGAGAGTGTGCCAGCTAGAGAAATTATAGATGAGAAACAGGTTTAGTTTTCAATTTGAGAAATTATGGCCTGTATATTTACCCTAAGTTATGCTCGCAGCATGACCTGCTTCTCTTTGGTTTATGTTGCACGTCGTATGCAGATAAGAATAAATCTACAGTTTTAATATTTCCAGGGGATTGGAAATCTAGACTTCTCTCCAGCAGGTCCATTTATCAGGTATTTTTTTTTTTTTTTTTTTTTTTGTTTTTCTCCGGTACCGGGAACCGAACTCGCGACCTTGCGCTTGCCAGGCAGGCGCTTTTTGCCACTGAGCTAAATCCCCAGCCCCTATCAGGTACATGTTTGACCTGCCAAGTTGCCTGAGGTGACAGGCTTGCCAGTTGTGGTGCCGTTGCAGAGAACGGCTGCCTCTCTGCTGTTACCTAACCACTCTTCCAGTTTTCCCTCCTTGTGCCTGTCCAGCCTCTGTGCCTTGCTCAGTCCCACTGTAAATGCCACATGTTATAGCTTTTTGTCATGGAAGCTTTCCATAGTTAACACTGGTTTCTGTTTTAGTTAGCTTTGCTGTGTAACAAACACTGTAAAACTTAGCAACTAGAAAGAACAAAGGTTTCTTATTTCCCTTAGTTCTGTGGATTGGATGATTTCGCTGTCTGTCCCTGCTGGGGTGTCTCATGTGTCTCTGGTCCACTCATAGGGCAGTTGGGGCGGCAGGGTCCAGGATGCTCTTATGCACAGGTTCAGCAGTTAGTGCTGGCTGGCTTCTAGGACACTAGTTTTCTTCCATGATATGGCCTATTCTGCCCCAGTAGGTTGGACCTGGCTTCTTCACAGGGAGGTGGTCTTGGATCCAAGCAGCATGAGAAAGGAAACCGCAAGACCACTTAAGACTAGACTCTAGAGCCTGCACAATGTCACTTTTACTCTTGTTCTTTTAGATAAAGCAAATCACAAAACCAGCCCAGATTCAGTGAATGGAGAAGTAGATGCCAGCTTTTGATGGGAGGAGCAGTGGTATCAGCTGTAAAGTGGCGTGGCCACAGGGACTCATGGGGCCATTGCTGTGACGTACCACATTTACTCTTTTACATCAACAGTTCCACAGAGTGGTTAACTTTATTTTATCTTTGAATGTCTCTTCCAGGGTTCCTGCTGCTGTGGCATTCTCTCTGCTTTTGTGAGTCTTATCTTTTCCAGACTCCTCTCCTTTTCTGTTTTTATTCCTTTAATCTAGGTGTTCCTCAGGCCAGGGGAATCTATTTTTCTCTTACTTTTAGTTTCTCCTCCTTTATTCTCAGCCATGCTCATGATTTTAACACTCTACATGAATGCTCTTCAAATTTATAATCTTCCTCCAAAACCTTATACCGCCAGTTCTCTAGATTTATGAATTTAGATTTATGAATTTTAACTGAGGTAGAACATCTTCCCCTGCAGCTTCCCCTGGTACTCAGATCTGTCTTGAATTCCTCCTGAGCCTGCTGCCATATTCCTGGCCTCAGTGAATGGAGCCTGTGCCACGTGGTGGCTGGGGTCTGTCTTGCCTTTTTCTCCTTCTTCAAGTTCTATCAGATTTATCCTGTAAATATTTTCAGAGTCACCTTATAAATGTTTGTCAGACATATCCCTTTCCATCCTTGCAATCTTAATGTAGGTGACCATGATCTCTTGCTGGGTAGTAACTTTCAGCTGGTCTTTCTGCCCCTAGAATTTCCATTCTCAAACCACAGTGACTTACTAAGAGACAGATGTCACTGTATCACCTTCCTACCTAAAACCCTAATGGCTCCTCAGTACCTATGTTTTCCAAAGTGAATTCCAGTAGAATACTTGTTCATGAGACATTAATAGGTCCTGCATGGAAAGAAAGTCTCCATGCTCATATTGGTTTGGGAATGCTTGTTTAAATAAAGTTAAAGAGATTTCTTTTTTCTTTCTTTCTTTTTTTTTTTTTTTGGTATTTTTCTGGTACTGGGAATCGAACTCATGCACGACCTTGCACTTGCCAGGCAGGTGCTGTGCCCCTGAGCTAAATCCCCAGCCCCAAGAGATTTCTTTATGGAGCTTTTTGTAGAACTCCTCAGAGTTGTAAAGATGCTGATACACATTGGAATTGCCCAGAAAGGAATGCATGACTCTAACATCTCCTTCTCCCCTGCATAGTTTTTCTATTTTTTACATTTGAAAAGAATTTTATTTTTACTTAGTTGACATAAATGTACTTGTTTATGAGATACTATGTAATATTTTGACACATGTATACATTGTGTGTTATTCAAATCAGGTTAAGCATATCTATCCCCTAAACCATTTGTCATTTCTTT